CATCCCGTAAGACATGGTTTATTTATTCGAGCTCTAAGAAATGAAACTGGGGAGACAAACGCTAACTTTTCAGCCCTCAACGTTCTTTCATGCTTTATTTCTTTGCTTAAAAAGTGAAAAAAGCTCTAGTGGAGTGCAGCTGTGACATTTATATTTAACCACCCTGTTATCGCTGCCATTTTAGAGATGACTTTTCTCATTCACTCCAAGTGAAACCAATTTAAAATCGGTCAGTTTGAATGTGCAGTCTGCAGACGTAATACTTTCAAAATGTCCTTCTGTAGCTGCTCCAGTGAGGCTGAAAAGGCTGCTTTATCTTTCAAATTGTGTCATGACATGGTTAGAACTGATCGCAGGAAGCTCCTTTTCGTATGGATTTGCCACCACTTCATTTGCAGGCTTGTCAACAGCAACACTGGTCCCCAGCCTGCTGTTGTTACCTTACAGGAAGTCTGTTTTGTAGCGAGTCTCTTCTTTTTTACATTTTTTATCATCTTCATGTGCCATGTTTTCACTAATTCCTTCATTGGGCAGAGAGACAATTAAAAAGGCATGAGAAAGGCTGCCCTGACAAGGGTTTGATAACACTACCTGGTGGTTGATAATGTTTTTGTGTGTATTACTTTATCTGTAAACGAATGGACTATAATGAAACTTTTAGGTAGCGTACACGTAGCCACATTTTAGTAAAACTGAATATCCTCCTTGCGTCCACACCACCTTATTTTAAGCATTTTTATTCTATTGTGAAGCACATTCATATGCATTCTAATCCTATAGGTGGCAGTAGTTCCCCAAACTGTCAGTGTCTTTGCAGAAAAACCATTGCTTGGATGTGGAATAGCTAGACAATGTCCATCACCTGTGGTCTTCTACATAGGGGAGTAACTGAGCTTGTAAAAACTAGCAAGTGAAAATAACCCTAACCCTAACCCATTTTTGTCTCGGGCAGTGATGTTGCAAAGCCTAAAACCCTCCTCTTTTTCCACAAGCAAATGCTGACAATAGAGAAGCCACAAATCCCAACCTTGGTCAAAGTTTTTAAAAAGATTCTTTTTAATGTCATCTATCTTCACTTTTGTGTTAAGTGATAGGCCTTCAATATTATGACTTTTTGATTTCCTTTACTGTGTAGATGTTTGGTAAACCTTCTTTAAGTGTTCAAAGTAGAGGTGGGCGAACATTTACAGACACCATAGAAGTGTGTCTATTACTGACTTAATTTTACAAGTGTAAATATATTACGAATTTTAAAAAAATAATGAAAAGGTGTGTGTAGGTTGCCAATGTTCCTATTATGTAATGGCATCCTAATGATTGTTCACTGGTTGGGAAGCCGATATTTAACTTTGGATCGTTTTTTTACTGTTGGCTTGATCAACCAACTCACGTGCACCTCAAAGCCATGGGCGCCCCCAAGGGGTGGTCAGGGGAGGCCACCCCCCCCCCCCCCCAAGAAAAGCCAGTGTTGACAAATAATGTTAATGTTCAGTCAAACAATAAATTGATCTTGTTTATTTAAGACATATTGTAAAACAAAATAAAAATATTACAATTGATGAGTAAAGAAATGATCAGAATTAAATAAATACATATGTTTCTCATGTTCACCATTTTAACTTTTTTTTATCTCTATAGTTTATTTTTTAACACAGCAACAGGTGAATTAACCTACAAAAATATAAATTTTTAATTTAAATTATGGATAACATTTTAAATAACTGAAATGTATTTTTCTGAAATGTTTGTGTTTGTAAAATTTAAATTAACTGTTGTGGATACGTACTGTTATTTTAATAAAAACGAATAAAGGAGCAATGCAGTACATCGCCACAGGCTAAATTCTCCCAGCGTTACCACGAGGACCAATTTGGTGTGCCACCTCAAAGATTTCTTTGGCCCCATCCGGCCACCCCTATCAACATTTTCTGGAGGCGCCCCTGCCCAAAACGAGATCTTGAGTTCTGGCCTCGATGTTGTCACTAAGGCAGGATGTACCATACCTTATGTGGACAGCACAGAGCAATGTCACTATACCACGCACAGCTCCGCTTCCCTCAAATTCAGTTGCAGTAGTTCCATTACTGAAATCGAGAAAAGGAAAAATGTCTAAGGGAGTTTCACATGTGAGCTGCTGACTACCACGGTGGCTGTTGACTGCCAAACTCCACACATAAATGTGTTTGTTTTACCAAAATTGAACCAAGCTACCAGGGACCAGTGGATTAATTTTATTTTTAACAGTGCTGTTCCCGAAACTCTCCCCACTAGTCTCAGCGTCTATGCTAACTATTTTAAGCCAGAATGCTTTGTAAATTTGGGGCAATATCAGGCGAAGATGGCATCAAGGATTCGTCTAGAAAGAGAGGCCATTTCAACACTGAGATACTTGCCAGAAATTCAAACAGTAAGGCTAAGGCCTAGTCCACACGTAGCCGGGTTTTTCTGAAAACGAATATCCGCCCCTCCAAAAACTTGCATCCACATCACCTCGTTTAAAAAAAAACTCTGTCCACACGTACCTGGATAAATAAGTTGTTAAGGACATGCCAGACCTGTAGGCGGCAGTACTTCCCCTGAATTGTATCCAGTCAGAGTAAGTTTTCGTCTTCCTGTGGTCTTCCGCAAGGAGCAGTAATTCCGCTTGCAAAAAAAAAAAAACAAGCAAAAAGCGCTTGGACAATTGATAAAGCGAGCGCAGTTCTGAGGGCATCCATGCTGTCGGCTAGTGTAAACACAGGTCGCACACGTGATGTCGGCATTTTTTGTCGCGGAAAGTGACGTTGCGGACCTTCAAACTCCGGTTTTGTCTGTCCACACGCAGACACCCAAAACGGAAAAACGCAGCTCTTCACTTTGGCCTGAGTTTTTAAAAAGATCCGTTTTCGTGTGAAAAAACTCCATTTTCGTGTGGATGACAGGTCAAAACGTAGAAAAATATCTAAGTTTTGGCAGATCCTGGTCTACGTGTGGACAGGGCCTAAGTTAGACTACTGTGTATGCATGCCGGGACGTTGTCCATCACAGGGATGCTATTTTGGAGAGAGATACTGAAGCAAAACTTACAGTGTCAACACCCCTGCTTCCTTCCACCAATCAACATGCCCCTCATTAGCAATATTATAATGTCTGCCCGGCAGATATTGCGCGTGCTGTCGCGAGAAAACTGGTTCTTTACAAAAAAAAAAGGGTCAGAAAAGCAGTTTTTAATTTTTTTTATACAAATAATTTTAGGGCCTAAAAGACTATGATGTAGATATCTACGGTAGCAACAGGTGATGACTCATTTGAGATGCTGTGCAGCAAACTGAATGAGGTAGAGTCATGAGACTTTGTGTAGTCATGTGAAACTGTCCTAGCTGGTCTAGCAAGAAGCAAATGACAGTGAGGAAAAGTTTGCTGAACCTACAGCCATTTCCCACTGCTTTTCTTTGTGTCTGGTTTGATGACATCAATTTGGTGACACGCATTTGTAGTCCTGGATAGATTTTCACACGAAACCTAAAATAACTTTTGCCCCGTTTGGAAATAAGTGCTTTCTTGGGATCAGAATGTACCTTTAAAATTCAGGGACATCATATGTGAAATCCATCGCACAGGATTAGAAAATATTTTTAGCCCCATTGACTTGCATTCATTTTTTCATTCTTCTGGGGTCACTGGTCCGGACGTAGATGGGCATGACTTAGGCTACCTATATGAAGACATAATATGATTTAAATGTATGCATAACAATTCTTAAATTTAAGATAAAACAACCCCAATAAATACAAAGTGTAAGTTACTTTCACCTACTACAATTCTTCTGCATTTGAAGCCACTCATATCATGTAGTTATAAGTAAGTCACATGTTCTAAAGTCCATTTAGCAGCCTTACTGTTGTCTGTTTGAATGACTTCTATGACTACTAACAACTAAAACACTAGAGTTATCAAAATATTTTAAAAGTTTTATCATCTAAACAAGATGCTAACCCTAAACTACCAGTATAGCTAGTTCATAAAACCATAAATGATCCACACTAATATGCATGGTGGGTGCCTTTTTAAGTTTTTTTAATTTCGCTAAATTCTTTGCAGAGTTTCCCAATCCCCTATTTACAGGCAGTCATTGTGCAACCTGTTAGTGGAGCACTTTTTATCTCCAATCACGCACTGATGACACAAGGATCCGAAGCTACGTGGGGCTCTGTGTTTAGTCCAAGTACACTTCAACATTGGGTGATAGCCAAAAACCAGTTCTAACAACCATAATGCTAAGCTCAATCTCAGCTCTGCATCTTTGTATAATGAAGTAATAAATGCAACAATATGGGATTTCAGCAGCTCAGTTTGATAATCCCCAAAACAGATTTTTCCCCAGCTATCTGAATTTGTTTACTAAATTTGCTGCAGGTCATGCATTTAACCTGTGAATCAGTTTGAATGAAGTCAGTCATCCATGTCATTGGTGCTCATGGTTTTGCAGGAAATATGACATATCTGTTAAACCCTCCCACTGTCCTAATGGGTGTGACCCCGTGAGGAAAGTTGACCATTGAGCAGGAATGATGGTTTATCCCTTGGGTCCATGTGGCAGGGGTGAGGAGTGAGCACCACATCACCCCTGCCACGTGGACCTCAAGGGATAAACCATCAATCCTGCTCAATGGTCAACTTTTCTTGCGGGGTCACCCATAAAGACAGTGGGAGGGTTAAATAACATTTTCATCAGCAAATTAGCTTTTTATTTCCACTTTATTTCTTTGTGGATACAAATGTATTCAACACATGCATGCAGTATCTGTTATTGTGCTCTCCAGATTATGTTACCTAATCTAACCCATGTTGTTATTGGTCCTTGAAAAATGAATACTGACCTTTTATCCAGTTATATGTTGTCTGACTGATATGCAGGAGCGCCACAACTTGCCCCAAGAGACACACCTCCAGTAGACTGACCCAGAGGTCAATAACCTGTTACCAACATCAGAAAAACAAACGCATGTGCTACTAACCCCGTTTTCGACGCATGTCTATATAAGAGCTCCTGTGATGAGAGATTAGTTGAGTTGGAAGATGCTACAGATTTATTGAGAAAAGAAGATACTCACAGTCTCCATCTTAGAGGAATCCTGTTCTGACTGGTAAAAGACAAATTATTTTCATTTTGAAAAGTCATCGTTGTTATTAAAACTGCTTTTGATAACCGGTACAAGCACTTTAGAGATGTTGTTACGAATTTTTTTTACCCATAAAAGAAAAAACGGAAAAACTCTCTAAAGCCTCTGTTAGACTCTCTAAAGTTTGGGTCACAAAGCTTTAAGGCTGGGGTCTTAAAATGTTTTCCTGAATTCTAACATGACTTTAAAATTTTTTATTCCTGTAATATTTTATTGTAAATGGTGTAAAGGTAAAACTAAAATTTATAATCTGAGTTTAACATGGGGTTAGGAGTGTGTATTGACAAAAATACGGCAAAACAATATATTTCACAATACAGGGGTGACAATGGTTGCAATTTTTAGGACTGAAGTTCATTGAAAAATTCAGGCGAGATGCTTCCAAGACACATCTGGTGTTACTGCGAGATGTCACTGTTCCGTCATAAAGGCAGTAAAAAAACAGATGACTAGCAGTCAGAGATTTTTTTTACCACACAAAAGAAATACAGTAAATGTTTGTACATAAATTCTCAATTAAAATCAATATATTGTTTTTAACTATCAATCCAGCATACAAAATGTAGCAATGTTCAAGTTTATTGATTTTTTGTGTGACCCTAATATATATATTCCTAGTACATTGTCTTTGTAAATTTTCATTATGCCCTTGCTTTTAGTAAAGTATGTATAGTTCAATAAGATATATTGTAAGTCTTAATATCTGTCATTTTTTTATCTGAAGGTAAAAAATGTGGGAACCATTGGTCTACATTACACCATAACGTCATGCATGGATGGATCACCATCACTATAGCCAGCTTTATTTCTTAGCTCTATGACCAGTAGAGTTTTTCTTTTTCCTGTTGTTGGTTTTCAAAACTTTTATTGGTCTGACTGACAGGACATTAAGATCAAACAACCTAAGATGTCCCTAGGATGAAGAGTAGTAGGTGATCACGCCTTTGCAGCTGCCACCCCACAGTGTAAAACATTAGCCTGGGCTGAAAATTCAATGGGTTCCAATCCAATATGGGTGTTGGAGTGAATGCAAAACTCATGTGATAATTTGAGAAAACTATATGTAATATGGAAAACCTCCAGCACTGGCATTTGACTAGAATAAAACCTGAAAATTTGATTCTATTCATTGTACTTTTGTAAGACGTTTAAATGTTATCAGGTTTTAGTCTGTTCTGATCAGATGTAATCTACTTTTTGCCATATACTTTGCAAAACTGATTTTGTAGATTATGAATTAACATTCATGATCAATGTTAATGTTTGACTGTGTCCCTTTAAATGTGTCCTCATATATTTAATCACCCCATTTTAAATGTTATGTAAAACCAGAGTTACATGTTTCCCGCTATTTAAAGTATTTCTACTTTCGTTTCAGCCCTGCAGCCTCCTGATCAGTCTGTCTGAACCGGACGACGGGGCGGGGCGTTGGTGTCACGTCATATCAGCCGCCGCGCTCTGATTGGCTGCCGCCTCTCACCAGACACAGCTGAGATTGTTTTCTGCAGTGGAAGTCCTGGTTCTTTTTGGGGTACGAGCTCTTTTAGCTGTAGAATGAAGCAACGCTGTGTGTTTACTAAATATGATGTGAACAAACGACGTGACGGCTGTCCTTGTCGGAAACAGCAGGAAAGCAAAACGGGGATCGTGGCTTAACTCGAATGAGCTGGAGTGCAGGTTTCGTTTTGGACCAGACACTTAATTCATCTGGAGATCAACAAGGTAAGGACCAAGAATCGCGTCATCCTTGCCTCAACGTGTCTTTTTTATGTGAGATAATTGAATGAATCTGCTTTCAAACAGCTCAGAAGTGCCAAATGCCCAGACTGGAGGACCACTACTGGAGCTGTCCTTGTTCACCAAAAGCTAAAACTAAAGATTCATTTGGCGCCAGCTGGTTCGCATCTAAAGCTGAAGAAATGATGTCCATCATCACCAAGGTGCTCAGCACTGCCTACGGCTCCCTCCACCACGGCAGGACCACCAACCTGATCCGAAGGGGTCTCGTCCTCTTCACGGTTGGGGTCTTCCTCGCCCTGGTGCTCAACTTGCTGCAGATACAAAGAAATGTCACCCTTTTTCCAGAGGAGGTGATGACAACTTTGTTTTCGTCTGCCTGGTGGATCCCGCCATGCTGCGGTACAGGAGCAGGTAAGTGGACCATAAACGGAGGTGAACTTCATAACTGTATTAGTTTACAGCTAATTTGGGGACAAAGACAAGCAAAGAGGGGAGGGGTCACCGTGGAGCATTATTTATTTAATTTAAAAATGCTAACGAGGAGGATACATTTAATTTATAATTCATTTGTAGGCATTAAGAGTCTGGAAAATCATATTTTATTCTTATTTGCACTTGCACGCTAAAGTAAGCACCCATTTATGTCATTTAATAAATCAAACGCGGCTTTATAACAACACATTTTGAAAATCTTCTAATTTGTCGTTTTCTATCGTGTCCTACTGCGATACGTTGTCATTCGGCTTTACTATGTTGTTGTTGTAACGCTGTTGTTGTTGTAACGCTGTTTTTCTTCCGTCGGGGAAGACTTTATGGTTGAGTGGCAGTCTAGTATCAAAAGACACGACTAGTTGCAGACGGTAGAGCTTCTTGGCTTCTGATTGGTCAGAGTCTACGTGAGCTGTTCGCTCATTAGCTGGTGTCATAACGGGTGAGATAAGGGCCGCCCCCTTTAAGGCCAGGAACCCGGAAATGAGAGGAGGTAGAAAAAAACGCGTTTTGCTCCTCCTTCCATGTGCTGCTGAGCAGAAAACTTTTAGCTTTTTGTCTTTCAGCATGTTTAATTTACTCCAGCTTGTTAAACTTTAGTTTAATTAAATAGCTGTTTTCCACTTCATTTTTGTGCACAACAAACAGATTAGGTTAGTCCTGGTACTTTTAAATCACCAGTCAAGCATGATCATTGGTTAAATTGTGTCTGTTCAGTTATGCCAAAAATGGGAAAAAATCAGAACTTCCCTCGCTAGATATTTCAGACCAGTTACATTTTTAGGTTTTAAAGGCATTTATAAAGAAATTACCACATTATTTCCTGGCAGATTTAAAATGTTTCACCAGTCTTGACTTTTAATCCGTTAAAAAAAGTGAAACAAAATGACTGTGACTAATTTTCACTGTAGGAGTTATAGCTAATTATTGTAACACTAGGTTTAATGAAGAGCTGTGATTTAGAATACAATTTGTCCTCATTTAAAGTTACCTTAGTTTTTGTTAAATGCCCAAAGTACTTTTTTAAAATTTAAATATAAAAAGGACATCATTTCTAGAGGCTGGACAACGTCTTTGACTTAAACATATTTTTTGGTCTTTGGTATTTTTTTAAATTATTACAGCTATTTTAAAAAAAGGTTGACTACAAGTATTTTATTTTGCTGTGAAAGTCTGTATTAGTTTCTTTTTTTTTTCATTTAAATGTGGTAAAGTAATAAAAAGTCACAATCAAAAAATGTATCTGTATTCCACTTCATCAAATACACAATCAAACAAAAAAAATTCAATAAATAATAGAACATTTCTTTGCTTTTTTCTTTAAACACTTAATGATATCTATGTGAATGGATGTGTCACAAAGTAAAACAACACTTGGTCAGCATATAACCAGCTCTGACAGGATGTGTCCTGTTTAGTTCAGAGAATTTGTGCTTATCTTGCATAATTCCTGACTTTTTGTTCCATTTTTTTCTATTTCCAGCTGTTGTTGGCCTGCTCTATCCCTGCCTCGACAGCCATTTGGGGGAACCGCACAAGTTCAAGAGGGAGTGGGCAAGCGTCATGAGATGCATTGCAGTGTTTGTTGGCATCAACCATGCTAGTGTTGTATCCTTTTGTGATGTTTTCCCTAAGTAATCCTTATTTTAATGCTAGTTTTTTGTCCCAGAAAATTGGAGAAAAGTGGAAAAATATTCCACCTCCTGTTTGGATGAGAGTAACACAATAACTTTTGACACTAATGGTTGAACTTGAAACCAGGCGGTCGAAACAATATTTGAACAAGAGCACATCATCATCATCTTGTTTAACTTTGCCCTTAACCCACAGTAACACAGAAACTAGACTTTGCCAACAACGTGCAGCTGTCCCTCACACTGGCGGCCTTGTCTTTGGGCCTCTGGTGGACATTTGACCGCTCCAGAAGTGGGTTTGGTCTGGGCATCACCACGGCCTTCTTAGCTACCATCATCTCACAGCTGCTGGTCTACAATGGAGTTTTTCAGTAAGTTCTTTGCTTAATTATGCAGAACCAGAAATGTCTTCATTTGGAGAAGTAAAGTAAAAAGCTTTTCTTTTTTTGTTCTATTTTCAGGTACACATCTCCAGACTTTTTGTACGTGCGTTCCTGGCTCCCGTGTATTTTCTTCTCAGGCGGCGTTACTGTGGGAAACATCGGACGCCAACTTGCCATGGTAACATTTTCTGCCATTTTTTAACTGCTTCCCAGTGATGTATAAAAATGTTGCTGCACTGAAATATCGCAATATTTTATTATTCTGAATCAATATTCAAAGGCAGTATCAATTTTATTGAGTATTTAAATGCAAGTATTTATTGTATATGTGTTGCTATTCAAACTTCAACTGCTAGGGGGCAGGATTTTTTACTGCCTTCATCATATACATAGACACTCTGTGGATTAGCGCTGCCTATTGGTGCTGGTGTAGCAGCGGGCTGCCATCTTGGATGAATCTCTATTCTTTCGCCCCCAATGGCATTTTTTTACCGAGGAAGACGTTTACCCAACTAAATCACACATTTTATTATCCTTTTTCACAAAGGCACACATATGGTATGGCATCATAGTTAAAATATAAATATAATAAAATAAAATAAATTGTCTCAGGCAGCTAGTTGGGATGCCTCCTGGACGCCTCCCTAGTGAGGTTTTCCGGGCACGTCCAACTGGGCGAAGACCTAAAGGAAGACCCAGGACACGATGGAGGGAATATGTCTCTTGGCTGGCCAGGAAACTCCTTGAGATTCCCCCGCAGGACCTGGCCCAAGCGCATGGGGAAAGGGAAGTCTGGGCCTCTCGACTTAGGCTACTGCCCCTGCGACCTGACCCTGGATAATCGGCCAAAAATGGATGGATGGATAGAAAATAAATTCAAATGTAAAATCCCAACGGGTAGCCAGAAAAGTCAGTAGAAATCCCAGATGATCTCTTTTCAATAATGCGCCTGTTGCTGCAACAGTAGGCTGCACAAAAGACAGGCATATTTGCTCAACCTGTATTGACTCCAGTTGGGTTTGGAGAGTGAGAAATCCACCTAATATAGCGACGCTCTCCAGCCCCCACTGAGGTATTTATATATTCAAGTTTATGGCAGTGGCGTGGCCAGATCTTTTAAAATGGGGTGGCCCAGGTAAGTGGCACCAATGGTTATGCTTTTTCTTTTTTACCCCAAGCTTTTTGTGGACAAGTCTCCATCCATCCATTTTCATCCGCTTATCCGGAGTCGGGTCGCAGGGGCAGTAGCCTAAGGCGAGAGGCCCAGACTTCCCTCTCCCCAACCACTTGGGCCAGCTCCTCTGGGGGAATCCCAAGGCGTTCCCTGGCCAGGTGAGAGGCATAGTCCCTCTGCCGTGTCCTGGGTCTACCTTCAGGTCTCCTCCCAGTTAGATGTGCCTGGAAAACCTCACCAGGGAGGCGTCCAGGAGGCATCCTGACCAGATGCCCGAGCCACCTCAACTGGCTCCTCTCAATGTGGAGAAGCAGCGGGTCTACTCCGAGCCCCCCGGATGACCGAGCTTCTCACCCTATCTCTAAGGGAGAGCCCAGCCACTCTTCTGAGAATACTCATTTTGGTCGCTTGTATCCGCGATCTCGTTCTTTCGGTCACTACCCAAAGCTCATAACCATAGGTGAGGGCAGGAACATAGATCGACCGGTAAATCGAGAGCTTCGCCTTCTGGCTCAGCTCTCTTCACCACGACAGACCGGTACAACGCCCGCATCACTGCAGATGCAGCACCAATCCGCCTATCGATCTCACGCTCCAGTTTTCCCATCACTCGTGAACAAGACCCCGAGATACTCCTCCACTTGGGGCAGGACCTCACCCCTGACCCGGAGAAGGTATTCTACCCTTTTCCGAATCAAGGACAAGGTGGACAAGTCTGTTTAAAGGAAATTCAGTGGGGTGGCCAATCAGATTCCAAGGTTGGCATGTGCTACCCCAGGCCACCCCCTGGACACGCCCCTGGTTTATGGCAAAATACTGGAGTGTCTTGGAAGTGCCTGACCTGAGTTCCCCAATTAAACTCGGTCCTAAAAATCACAAACGTTGTTTGGCTTTTAGTTTCGAGATAAACTGGATCGTCTCACCTGTCATTGTGATCTATATCGTATTGCAAGATTCTTGCCAATTTTTATTTTACAAAGCCTTTATTAACATTTACAAAGGCAATACATAACAATGCAACAACCACCAGGAGGCTACAAACCAGATTATTGCCAGTACACCCTTACTGCTTCCTATAAGGTCAGATTTAAAATGGGACCCTCCTCTTCCTGCCTTAGCAACAATGCCATCCACCTTCAGAAAAGACAGCTTAATACCGACCAATCCGAGGCCGCATATGTCACCATTTGCAGATCTGCCAGATCTTTGGTTTTAACAGAACAGCTCTCCGTTCTCTTGATCTCAGTCCAGCACCTTTTCCCCATCTGCCAAGTCAAAATTCCAGAGTAAACACTGAATCTCTGTGATACTTTGGAAAGTTTTCCCCCAGACATCTTTGCTGAAAAGACCCCTCAGCGTTTATCTCTATGAGTTTCTGCGTTCCTCGACAACAAATAATGACTTCAAACGCCTCCTGTTCATCACACTTGCTTTATTAATAATTATCCAGCTGAGCCGCCGCAGCAGATAAGATTGTGGAATGGTTTACATGTGAGCAAAGAGCATTTTCTCTTCCTTCATAATTATCCCATGAAGTGGGCTTTGATGTCTTTATTGAGCGTCTGTCTGGAAGCCCCACCTCATTCCGCCTGTGAAGTACGAGTTCTCGGTTTGACTGAGGGAAAGCGTGAAAGCAGATTAGGAGCTGTTGTTTTTCACAGTCGTGGCGAGACTCCGAGCCAGTCCAGACTCTGCTGACCAGAGGGTCATTAGCTACTTGTTTTTGTTTTGTTTTGTTTTTTGTGAAGAGGCCCAAGGAATGTTGGCACAAGTTTGAACTCGAAGCTTTCTTTAGATTTTATCCCCCCTTTTTGCTCCATTTGATCGTGTTTAGAAGTATCGGAGAGAAAATCCGCTTGTATTTTTAGTTTTCCAGTGTACCTGGTTCTTTACTGTTACACTAAAACAGCTTTATTAGAACTTAATAGAACCATTTAGAAGCAGGATAATTGACAAAAACTTTTTAAAATATTAATATTTTAACTGTTTCAATGGAGGAACATAATCTCGTCAAAGGAAAAATTTTTACCTGTGTCACCACCGTAGAGGTTCTGGGAAATTTCTGGCAAAGGAAAGCGACGGGGACAAAACGATGGCTCCGTCCTTTCAGCTGTTTCTCCACAAAAAATCGTTTCTTTCAGGATTTTGCCAAAACGTCTGAATATTGCAAAAGTTTCAGCCGTGGGTGACGTCACAGATCAGCTCCAAAAGGCATCCACGGACATTATTGACATTAAATGTTTTATTCGATCAAAGTATGCCGTTATTTAATTCATTCGGGGATGTGAAGAGCAGCTTTGTTGTGTAAAAAGTGGCGTTCAATGATCAGGTTTTACGGCGCTCTATAGAAGATCACAAAGCTGCAAGAATTCTGGCTTTTCTGACTACGTTAAAACGGCGCCAACGCCGGATGAACTGGTGACACGGGCATGCCATTAAGGTCTGGTAAAATTAGTTCCGACAGTGAAAATGGGCCTGTTGACATTAAATATTCAAATGTAAGCAATAGACCCAAAGATGTGATTTCTGATGCTGGATGTGTTTGTTTCTCCTCAGGGTGGGTGTGAGAAACCCCACATGGACTGAACTCCAGCAGAAAGACGTACAACGAGGTAAAAAACGGATGAAAATAGAGACGGTTTGGTTTTCGGAGAGAGGGGTATGATGACCTGAGAAAAGAAGAGACTCATAGTTTCGACTACATCCTTTTGGATCCTCAAAGTCCATCGTCTAACGTGCCATGTCCTCTGAACCTGTTTGTGGCCAAACAACTCCTCATTTATCTCTGTCGGCATTAAGACTTCCTTCACACGAGACAAGAAGACGGGGTTCGCCTTTTCTTTGAGTGTTTTGATTTTCAGTGACTGTTTTTGGTCTTGGCTAGAAGACGTGATGAGACTGATGTATTTAAATTTTTCTCTTGTTAGACTTAGAATCATAAAAGGGAAATGTCTGCTGGTACAAAAAACCTCATCACTCTTACGTGGAGTCGTATTTAGTGGCATCACCGGGGAGTGCTACGTTCCCATTTAAACCAAAACAAAGTATTTTTTGTAAGTTTTCATAAACCTAAAGCATGTGTGTGTGTGTGTGTGTGTAAACATTTTGAGAATTATGTTGCTTTCTTTAAATTACCCTTTTTTATATATAAATTTAAAATGAGGTGGACAATAATTAAACAAAAAGTGACAGTACTGTAAAAGTTCTGAACATTTCTAGGTACTTTGTAGGTATAGATATTTTTTTAAGTCAAAAGATTATTTCAGTGAATATATTTAGACTTAAAAATCTCCTTTTTTTTTAAAAAAATTCTAGCTATTTTTAAGATCAATACAAAAACACACAAAAGTGCTGTAGTTTCCCGTTCTGTAACAAAGTTGAAACTGAATTTCATTTGAGCCCTCGTCGGTCGACTGTGAGTAAATACTGATGCTATATTGCTGGTTTCTTGCATCAGACCATATATGCTCACAGAAGTTGGCCCCCGAGGAGAGCAACCTGCAGCTGGGCCCCTCTTAAAGTTCTTAATGCAGAACGGCAGCTTTAACTGCGATTTGGCTCAGCTGCAGATGATAAAACTGGCCTTTTTTGGAGGGTTTAAAAAGCAGAAGTAACACATTGTTGGCTGAGTAACTGCATAATCAGGGATTTTGGGGGGGGAAGAAAGCAAATTGTTTCTCAAAATGTTTCTGTAGATTTTGATAAGTGGAGTAAAGTAAAAATGGGGTGGCTGTAAAAAAATAAATAAATAAAACAAAGCACACTGCATCAATTACAACAGAAAAATCTGTATTTACCAACAGGTCAAGTATCGTATTTAGTTCCAGAGTGAGACAAGTGATTACTCCATTAGATTTGTCTCTTTTAATTCCAGATAAGAGAAAAAGACCAAATTTTTTTGGAAGAAATAGAAACTTGGTTCAGGTGCGGTGCTATTATGCAGCATTAGCTGGGGCTGAAATGTCCATTAAATGTAAACGTGCAGAGATTTATTTAAAGCCACTAAGGTGCAAAGAATGTACCACAAGTATCCATTTTTCATTGATCTGATCTAAATGTCGTCGACCCCTTTGATTTCCAATCATTTTACACACAGTAAAGTATTCAGGAGGGTAGGGCATATTACGTCAAGATTTGCAATCTGTGATTGCCTGTTTTATAGAATTTAGTGCTTTTGTCACTAGTTTTTTCTCATGTGTATGATGTCATGGATGCTCAAATGTAAAATAGCTTTCTGCAATCGGACCGCTGTTCTGTACCACACTAAGACCTGCAGCATGTTTGTGTTTAAGGGGGTCTTAAAGATCAAGTGCAATCAAATTATACATCTCCTGATTCTCCTTTTTTATTTATTATTTCTGACAAAGACTAAAAAAAAGTTTGTAAATGCAGTGTGAGTTGTTAAATCACGCTATTTTGTTTTTGTGAACCCGATTCAGTCAGATTACATTATTGGAGTCAACAGCAATGACCCTCAGAGAAAGTCTCATTTCGTAGCATTGTTAGAGGAAACCTGATTTATTTTTTTAAAAACTTCATCTGCTTTCATTCAGGTATGCTGACAAAAGAGGAAACTTTATTTATTTTACGCTTTTTGTTGTTTTGTCTTTCTGAGGTGGTGAAGCACCTTTTGTTGTATTAGTTTTCAGTCTGAGCTGTGTATGATTTTTGCTACCTTGAATTTAAGTGAAAAATAAATAAAAAACACTAGACATGAATTTCTGTGTTTATAGTTGACTTGGATACTTAAAACATGGAAACGTGTTTAATATAGAAATCTGAGTTAGTCTTAAAAACTAATCAAAGCATCTTGCTGCTTTGCTGATTTCTTAGCATGTCATGCAAACGTTTTACAAACAACGGGTAAAAAATATTTGAAAATGTTCTATTTTTTTGGTTCCTTTGGAGAAGAAGAATTTGTCCTTTAATCACAAATTGTTACCAGAAAAGTTACTTTTTTACCACGTGTTCACATCCTAATCAGATGCCCGAATCACCTCAACTGGCTCCTCTCGATGTGGAGGAGCAGCAGGTCTACTCCAAGCCCCTCCCAGATGACTGAGGGAGAGCCCAGACACCCTGTGGAGAAAACTCATTTCGGCCGCTTGTACCTGAGATCTCATTCTTTCGGTCACTACCCAAAGCTCATGACCATAGGTGAGGGTAGGAACATAGATCGACCGGTAAATCGAGAGCTTCGCCTTCCGAATATAATATAAATATATATATTAATCAAAATTGTGCCAGGAGGTCCTCAAAGCTGCCATAGCTAAAGAGTTGTGTGAAAATGTACCCATCTTGTTGGTTCAGTAAAGATGGCTGATTTCACCCTTGACTCACCACTGGACGTGCCCTTCTGCTCAGTATTTACTACAAAGCCGGTCACTTTTTCATTGGGCTGCTCTCCCAGAAGCTTTAACCGGTTGATGAATTCCATCCCAAAACTCCCAATTTCTTTTCTTTGTTTTTAAAACAGGAAGTTCTATCTCGTCTAGTCTTCTTACGCCTATCCGGGAAGTCCAATCTCCACTAATTAAACGTAACCCAGGGCACAAGCTTCACCGGGAGACCAAATGTTTGATTTATGGTTAATGAGGTAAAATTGAGCTGTCTGTGGTCCTGATGAGGACAGTCTTTGTCTCTGGTCTCTGTCAGTCTCCAAAGCCACAGTAATGTTCTTGGCATCATCATCCATCCTCTTTCCTCTTGTGTGTATAAGACCAGCCCTCCCCTCTGTGTCACAGGGATCACGAGGAACCCCCCCAGCACCCCTTTCTGGAGGGCAGGCTTCTATTTATACCTAGCAGGGGACTGACAGTTAACCTTTTGCACTGGGGGAAATTTCTGGGAGTGCAGCCAATTTCTGCCATTTAATTCCTTCTATACCACTATCTTTCCATCCATCTATCTTCCTCCATGTCTTTGCCGGGGCAGCGTTCCAGCGCCACACGCCACCTTCTTCCCTCCTCGTTTCTCTTCTCAGGAAGAATAATTGGCCTCAGCTTCAGCCTCCTTTCATTTACAACTGAAAGACTCCATTAGAGCATCTCCTCGCTGCCAGAAGCAACCCCATTTTTCCTCCCACCCCTTCTTCCTTAGTCTCTCCATCCTCCCTTTAAGGCAACCAGACAAGCCAAAGCAAGGGTCACATAATGTATTGATTTGCGCCATCTATAGGTTTGCACAAGCAGACAGCTCTTTGACTTTGAAATAGTCTGTTGGCCTCTAATTTGATGCAGTCAAGCCAGAAAACATGAAAGTTTAACCACTCCGCGCACAGGTTAGGCTTTTATTATCCCACTTTATCGTCCGTGAACCTCATATTTGTTTAAAATCCGTGAGAAATTGTTTCTGTTTGGTGGATGATTCTCAGTGAAAGACACAGCAGCACACGAGATCAGGTTTTTATCGATTTTTATTACTGCAGCAACTAAATGGTAGATACAGAAAAAGTTAAAGGAAAAGAATTTCGAACAGAAAAGTTTAAACGCAACCTTACACACACACACACACACATATTAACATTGTTTTGGAGCGATAACAGTAATTGTGTGTGAAAGCTGTTGGTTTATAAATTTCTGTGATGCGGAAGGAATTCATAATCAAACTTTTGCATGAAAAAGGAGTTGAGTAAACATTTATCTTCAAAATTCATACTACAGTCAATTCCATGGTTTGAATTAGACAGTCTTCTGGGGAAGCCCCGTTAGAGTGACGCAAGAGCGTGGGGAGGGGTGAGGGGTCATCCACCCAATCATCGTCATCAGAGCGGGAAAGGGGGGGCTGGATCACTTATCAGGCTCCCCCTGGTTGTGTCAGCTGAGGGCTTCCAGGGGAGCCCATCAACCTTTCGGGGGAGCTGAGCTCCCCACAGCTCCACATAATTAGAGACCTTATTCCACTTTTAACCCTCTCAGGCTCAAAATAAGTTTTGATAAAAGGACGAATAACTAAGTCCTTCAGGGGTACTTCTGAGTTAAAAAATGCTAATGAAATACGTATGTGGAGTAACCAGGTAGGTAGGTTTTAACGTCGCAAATCTGCAACGCCTGCCTCCAGAGGGTTAAAAATCTCGTAGAATTGAAATGCATTGACCAGCAAAATTACACATTGAGCCCTCCTGAGTCCTGGGTTTTTGTTTTGGGTGCATTTCTAGTTTCCTCCAGCTAGTTAGGAGCTATTGGACTCAATAAACATAAATTATTTGAAACTATTGGTAAGCAAAATAAAGTTAGGGAAACATGTTTCCTTTGAAAGAGAGACAACCTCTCACTCTGATGCAATGACCTAATTGTTTTTGTTTGAATGTTTACAATCCTAATCCTTTTTTTTGTCTCTTTAAAGAGCAAGTCACCCCCTACCAGAGTCTTACCCCACTCCCACTTCCTGTTTGAAAAATGCAACAAATGCTGTTGCCTGGCAGACCGAGAGGGCGGAGCCGCTAACAAATACACACAAACACAGACTCACAATGACCTTGTGACATCATAATGTACCAGCTAAAGTCATAGTGAACCTGTTGGCCAATAGTGATGGCAGATTTAAATTCAAATGCAGTGTAGAGTTTTTATCTAACAAAGGCGCATCACTGACAGTTTTAGGCAGGAAATTTTTATTTGAACTAAGATGCACTAAAGTGCAAAATTATTGACTACACGTGTCTCCAGCACGATTAGACACTCATTTATATAGTTTATCAGCCAAAAAAGGTTGATTTGGGGGTTACTTGCTCTTTAATATTTGCATTTGCACGTATTGAAAATTCTCAAATTTTTCTATTGTGTGAATTTGTATATTTATGTGTTCTACGGTCATATTTTTGTCCCTAATTGGTTGTGTTGCACAACAATGTTATCTAAAAAAAAAGCTTTGACTTGACTTTAACCTACATTTCGCTGACAGCCTGCACATTTGCAATTAGTTTTATTTTTTAAAAGCACTACTGGTTATAGCAGTGCGCATATTTTCTAAATAATCACCTGTAACACATAAAAAAATACAAATTTAACTTTTCCTTATATGTTGCTTAGAGCTCTTTTTGACTTGATTATTTCTAAATTAGCAGCATAACTTTGTTTTTCTCATTTAAGATTCAGTTTGACCTTGTTTTAATTTTTAATTTATTATTTATTATTATTATTATTTTATTTAAGCAGATGAAGCCACTGGCTAACCCTACCCTAACCCTGACCCTGCAACTAAAATCAAATATATGCGGCTTCTATGTAAGCATCAGTATAAGTACTACATTCTATAAATAGGTCACTTACACAAAGGGAATGGTTGTATTCATTGATTCAATCCCATTTTTTAGGGTTTCCCCCACATTTCACCAAAAAAAAAAAAACTAAAAATTTTTAGCCCTTTTTAAACTTAGCCTAACTTTAAAGGTGCTTCAGTTTGGACTATTTTCAAATCTCTGGACTGGATGGAGCTGGTTTTGTTGAGAAGTGGAGTAAATCATATTTTAATACAATTAGGAAACTGTCCTGTTTTACCACCAGATGACAGTGTTTATCCTCCCAGCTTGTCTGGACATGACAGACCCCTAGTGGAGGGACAGGGAACACACATGTCTTAATCCTACAAGGTGGAGGATGTCACCTTTTTAATGAAAAAATTACACTGGGTAAGTTTAAATCAAACACTCATCTGAAGAAACAAGGTATTTGTGTTAAAGTTGCATGTCTAAGTGAGGGAATCATAAAACTGCAGTCTAAGAAAACACATTTAGATGCAAAAAAAATACATTTATTAAGCAGCGAGCCAGAATATTGTTCTTGGAATATTTATCTTACACTGCAGCGAACATGCATGATAAGGTCAATGAAATGGACCGAGTGTGGAGAAAAGCACAGCTCCCTTATTCCTCAGCCAAAAGGTCTTGAGCAGCATTAATGTCCTGCTCTCCCAGATAGATAATGAAAGATGTGTGTGTGTGTGTGTGTGTGTGTGTGTGTGTGTGTGTGTGTGTGTGTGTGTGTGTGTGTGTGTGTGTGTGTGTGTGTGTGTGTGTGTGTGTGTGTGTGTGTGTGTGTGCGTGTGTGTGTGTCGTTTAGGTCTACTGAGTCTTCATTACACCAGAGCAGGGTCCACTCCTCTTTTGCCCTCATTCACTGCCTCTCCCAGCACTGGGCAGGAATAATGGATTACAGTGATGCCATGGGTGTGTGTGTGTGTGGTGGTGGTGGTGGTGGTGGTGGTGGTGGGGGGGGGGGGGGGGGGGGCTCAAAGGTGGACTCCATTTTAGCTCAAATTACCTCTCCGATCCTATTCAAATGGCAGTGTGAGGCTGCTCTCTGTCTGCAGGGCAGAATGGTCACGTTCTAATTCATGCTTTTCTGCTGATCGCTCGTCTTGTGCTCTGGGTTCAGTGAATACCTGGGTAAAAATAAATAAATACATTAATTAATTAATTAATTAATTAACTAATATAAACAACTTGCATGAAGCTTAAACCATGAAGAGCCATTTGCTTCTTCCTCTGCAGGACAAAATGACAGCATGAAGCTCATGGAAACAATGCATAAACACAACAGTGCATCTGACAGCTTAGATCTGGAAATTGATTAATAACCATAAGACAAGCAGGTGAGGATTAATGGGGACTTAGAGGTGCAAGTCCTCTAAATGTTGAACATTCATAAAGAAAGACATTTAAATACATCAAATGTCAAATAGTATGCTTTTTTAGTTTGATGGGAAGAAATTAAACAAA